TAGATTCACATTGGTGTGTGTTTGTATTACCATTCTTGTGTTTTTGTGTGTGTGTGTCTGTCTGTCTGATGAAATGTCCTTTGAGGCTTCTTTAACTGACCTACATATCAGAGCTGTGAAATGGAGAGGTCACAGTTGCATGTGCATGGTAGTGTTCAGAAACTATGACACAGCTGGTGTGACATCTTCCCACCTGTGAACCACACAGTCTGACTTTGTGCACCATTATACACAAACTAGAAACTTTCTTCCGAGATGGCACCTATCCATTTCAATTTAGGTTCTTGCAGTAGGTGGATATTTGGAACTAAAAATACAACAAAATAACAATAAAAAATGACTATTTTGTATAGTGCAGAATTGCGAAGCTCTGTAAAGCGCTATACAAATACAGGCTATTTACCATTCTGGTTTTTACACATTGTCAAGATTGTAACTGAACTAAGAGAAGCTGTTGCTGGTTTTGCTTTCACTGTCTAACACACTAGGTCCCATCAAAACTAGACAGTACAATCAGATTAAGATGTACCAGTTTTTCCACTATTACGTACTTCGTTCGACTTGACTTAAGTCAGATTTTAGGATTTTCCATTACGTGATAGTATCTGCTCGGTTGGGGTTGAAAATGTGACATCAAGGAGACTACATCCCACAAAACGGCCAATGAGAGCGACTCCTTCACAAAAACCAATCCAAGCACATTGAGGTGGTATTATAATTGAATACCACCTCAATGTGCTTGGGGTGATTAGAGCATGGAAAATGAATAAAACTGAGTAGAGTAGAATAGAGTCGAGTCGAGCCAATCCAAGTAGGTACTATAGGAAAAGAGGCTATAGTGTCTACTCAGCTTGTTCAGCTCCAGCCTTTGTTAATGGGACATAAGCATGCTGATATAAACTACTGATACTATCAATAGCATCTAGGGGCGATCGTGGCTCAAGAGTTGGGAGTTCGTCTTGTAATCGGAAGGTTGCCGGTTCGAGCCCCGGCTTGGACAGTCTCGGTCGTTGTGTCCTTGGGCAAGACACCTCACCCGCTGCCTACTGGTGGTGGTCAGAGGGCCCGGTGGCGCCAGTGTCCGGCAGCCTCACCTCTGTCAGTGCGCCCCAGGGTGGCTGTAGCTACAATGTAACTTACCATCACCAGTGTGTGAATGGGTGGATGACTGGTTGTGTAAAGTGCTTTGGGGTCCTTAGGGACTAGTAAAGCACTATACATTTACCATCAATCCGGAGTCATACAGAATTCGATAGGCTTGAAGGATCAGTAGACAACTATGACCATAAAGAGGCAGTAATTTATAGATGGCAAACAGGCCAGCAGCTTTGTGACAAATGAGATCACTTTCACTTTACAAGGTTTTAATTGATTTTTATGTCTAGGTTTCATTGGGCAAGCACTGCTCGGCTTGCATGCCCAGTTTTTGAAATTAGATATAAAGATATATCTACATAATAAAGATATAAAAAGTGAGACATCTGACATTGTGGAATGTCAGATGTAACCGTTTTTGATAACTTAAATATAAGTTATCAAAAACAGCATCCTCACAGTCAATAAAATCAGTACTTTGCATTTGTGTGTGTATAGTAACTGCTAAAGTTTTTGCATCTGAAACTAAGTTGCTTTTTTTCCTGGTCTTATCAAATCCTGGTGATAAAAAATACAAAATCCAGTACTAGTTTTTAATGCCCAAGCTTTGTAGGCTCTCAGACTTTTACTTTGTCCACATGGGCTAAATGAGCAGCAATATTAACAGCCTGAAGGTGAAACTTCACTGAGAGCTGCCCAGTATTGCGCCAATCTGCTGCTCTACCAACCAGGCCAGATGTTTCTGCCAGCTGCAGGGCACCTCGACACTTAGGATTCAGTCTTTTGATGAAATTTTGATGCAAAAATTTTGATACTCAAAACGAGACAAAGTAACAATATTTTTTTTTAATCAAAACCAGATATGTAAAAGTGCACACTTTTTAAACTGCTGCTGTTTTAACTGGATATTATTGTTGGTAATGCAAGCAGCATGAGGTCAGTTACTGTTTCACCAGTTTGATTCAGTATTGTTAGTTTTATTTATCTCAAATTCAAAATAAATACTTTGTCAGAGTTTCACAGGAATGTTTAACACTTTTCAACTTTGTTTATTTATCGTTATTATTAACATTGTTGTTGTTTTTGGTGGAATTATTCATGAATTGTCATATATGTAAGCATTTGGTGTGTTTGACTGTTCTGCAGATTATCCGAGGCTCTACTTTTGGGAGTAATCTGATCTCATTTATATTCTATGCTGCTTTCCAGGAACAGGGATTAAGGATAACATTGTGACACAGGTTGATTTGACAGTGACCTGATTACTTTTAGGTGTGTGTGAAAATGGGTAACGTGATTTTCATAGAAATGAAGGCATTGTAGTTGTTGAGTAAAAAAGTATTTTTCACAAACTTCAGCTTCACATTTTCAGAACAACAATGTTTAGGGTTCAGCAGTGTTGGGGAGTAACGGAATACATGTACCGCCGTTACGTATTTAAAATACAAAATATGAGTAACTGTATTCCGTTACAGTTACCGTTTA